GTGAACAACAGTTTGTACATGTATACGAATATAAAACGATAGTCCATTCATTTAAAACGAGAATATAAAAGGAAAAATATGAACGGATAACTTGATTTATTTATTTATAACTGGTCAACAGTACACACATATAACCACGAAAAGAAACAAACACAGGATCTTGAAGTCTTATGAAAAGCATTATACCTTTGCATTAATGATTTAGAATTTAATAATTCATACCTTTAACTACTGCTAAGCTGTTTACCGAATTAAAGGGCTTCAATTTCGATGACTCAAAGTGTTGGCACAATTTTTGAGTGAAACTTCTTAATTTTAAGCAGACGTTTCTACGAAACATTAGTGACGAAAAATTAATTGATAGTGTAAGTCATAGCTTGGGATAGGAAACTTCCTTCACGTAATTAAACCACTAACTGACAATAGTAAGATAGTATCGAGTTTGTTTTAATCACACGTTTGTAATAGATTAAAAGCAGCAGGAATTCCGAAATAGATTGTTTGGGATTGGAACAATCAACAAGATTAAAATGCATTATATTCAACATCAGAACAAGGTTGAAAGTGAGTATATATGAAGACTAAATAAATAGAGATGAGAAAATGACTTTCTTTTAACTTCATTTGGGATCCAATGATGAAAAAGGCAAATTAAACCGAACAGAAATACTTAATATAAAATAATTATCATATACTAAAGCGAGAGATATGTGCTGAAATTGAGATGTTAATCACCTGTAACAACGATAGGTCATAATGATTCATACATAATAACATGGATGTTTAATACACTTTCAAAGAACTTTATGTTACAAATGATTTAATTGTATAATCTTAATGAATAGAATAACGAACGTATACAGTCTCAAGACTCCGTGTATATCGCTTCTTTGAAAAATAAGTAACTTTTAAAAATTAATAGACATTTTTTAATGGTCTTGTATCTGACTCCAGGCTGATAGTTTCTGATTGTTATTGAAATATACATGTCGCTAATTATCGACTTAAATCACATTCATGAAGAACGGAATTAAATAAGTCAAATATAAAAATGGATTTTTGAACACGTGTATTTCGTACAATCGTTGGCCGGAAAGCGAGACAAAACAAAATGACGCGCAATGGAGATGGCGAGAGAGTCAACTCACTTTAATTAAGCGTTAATCAATGTTTAGTCAGAAAAAAAATAAGTTACAGACATGTGATGAGTAAGATAAGAAATGTACACACACGCTTACATAAAAAGTCAAGGTTGATAAGCGAATAATTAACAAGGTCAAAATGAGACTCAAGAATGAATTAACTGACCTGTCCAGGAGCTAAAATAAGATACATGGGCTTGACATAGAAACCGACATAACAATTTAACCGGTAAGAAAAAGGAAACCCAATTGAATTAAATTAACAATAGATACAAAAAAAACTTTCAGATTTTAACGATACTGAAACAGGGATAATCTAAAACATAATTAATGAAAAAAAATACGATGTGAAATGAAGTACCTTAAATTGGGAATAATAATCTTAAAACTTAGTACTAAATGTTAGTGAAATAGTTTGTGTTTAAAACTAATTTTACTTTTAAGGATATGAGTGATCAATTTTTATCATAGTTACTAGCCGAACCAGTTAAGATTAAATACCTCTATAGGCAAACAAACAAATCATCACACTATTCAATCCGTCAGATATATATACCCGGTTGAATAACACTGTGCAATGTTATCGTTAGTGATTCAAAATTTTTTAGTATAACACTAAAGAATTGATCACAGGCTTGAACTATTTTTTCACCTGATGATGTTACAGCAGTTATCCATCAAAAAAAGAGAGGAACTTCATAATCAAGTGCATCAATCAGATCAGGGCAGATGTTTTTTGAATCAACATATCATTTTTGTTAACTATTGAAAAAATGAATGTTTTGAAATGTCATAGTACTCTTTATTCAATCTGATATAACTTTTTAATATAACTAAGCAAAAAAAGGTACACAATTGTATACTCGAATATGGATACAGTGATAATATTCACGTTTAGAATTTAAAAAAAGATGAAGTATGGACTTCAACATACAAAATAATAGCTACCAGCTGAATACTTTTAACATTACGCTATTAACAATTAAACAAAAGGCCCAATTAGAGTCCTAGTAAAACGATTGACAATAACAACGATGAGTTTTTTTCTTTTCAACTAGATATTTTTGTTAAAATAGTTGAATTTTTTTAATGCATTTTTTTCCACTTGCAAATAGGTAATACTTACCAAACGTTACAAACGAGACAACACCCTAATTTACAAAATATATCATCATTTAATAGAATCATAACTGGAGATTTTACAAATACTAATAACAATAATAATTACATTATCAACAACAGTAATAATGACTCAATGAAAAGATCAATGACTCAATATCATCATCAGTATAAAAATGGACAGTATACACCATTACTCGATATGAATAATCAAAGGCATATGTTGGAGCGCTTACATTTAATACAAGCATCACAACCAAACTTATGCATAGGTTTTAAAGGTGACGAAGATGATGTTGTCGAGGATGAAGAAGAAGAGGGCAACAGTAATGATATTGAAAGCAATATCAATAATAATAGTCTAATCGCTGATGATTGTCATTCCTTTGGTCATATTCACAAGAAAGAATCATTTACACGCCAAGAAAGAGCTTTTAGTTTGACTAATTTGATTCCACAAAAAGCAGAAATCTTATCATTCAATGAATATAATAATAATAATTCTGATGAACACCGAAATAATAATACTACTAATCATACAAATGAATATCATAAATCGAAAAACTGCATGAAATATGAATCGTCTTCACCATCAGTTAATAAACTGATACAGCATGTAGAAAAAGAACAACACCGGCCACAACATGAACGAATAGTACTGATAAATAATAAAATAAGTAGATTGAAGCAAAATACTACACCAACAACACTACCATCAATAAATACATCAACATCGAATACAAATCAATGTATTACATTGAAATCCAGTCAGTCGAAACACACAACAGATGATATTACAAACAATCCAAACTCAATTACTACCAGTGGGAGTAATAATAATTCTTATTGTACTGTTAGTTTTGTTTGATCCGGTCAAATAGTGTAAATAAGTACATAGAGAAGAAACTAAACAATGAAGAAAGGAGGAATTACAAAAATGAAAAGATACAGCAGGTTTATTTTTTTTAGACACTACCGACCAGTATCAACATTTCCGTTTGAAACGCTGATCAATAGATCCCTGTTTTACATTATATATATATATATATATATATATATATATATATATATATATATATATATATATAAATGCAAATAAAAAAATATTATATTTAATTATTTTACGTAGGTAATAATGAGTGTATGTACATGAGTCAAATTCATCACTCCCCCCCCCCAATCCACTTTCATATACCTCGATCACCAATTCTAACAAACGTTTTTTGTGTAAACATTGAAAAACCGAAAAACAAACATAAATATTATCTCTGGGAAAAATTTGTAAATATATCAGGCAAAAAACAAACAGTGGGAATAATAATTGAAATAATATTTTGAGGAACATTGAATGACCTCAATAATTTTATAGAATTTACGGAAAAAAAGATAACATTCAGGTGAGAACGAAACTATGGATGTGTGTGTGTGAAACAGAAGAAATCAGCTAGAATTGAATCTTTCAGTCTAGTCGTTTTGTTAAGCTGATTTCTCTATTTGTCTTCCTTTAATCAGAACAAACAAATAAATAAAAAATATACAAATACAAGAACATTCACTCTGTAAATGTAGTTATTTCAAATTTTTTCTCATTTACCTCAAATAAGAAAAACTAATCTATATAGTTTATGATAAAAATTATACAAATCGCCAAGAAATTCAAACATAACAATGTACACACATCCAACACTGACCAATCATGATGTTCAAGACAAACAGATATCATCATCAATATGCATAATTGTATGGAAATATATTTTTTTCCTTCCATGGGAATCCGTATATATATATATTAGTAATTAGCAAGAAAGCATATAGGCACCAACATCTATACACCTAATCGAAACAATAAGACAACAGAAAAGTCAACGTTTTTTTTTAAAAAAAAATAACCATAATGATTTTATTGATGGTAATGATGATGACAATAATCATGAAAATAACTATTATTGTTTACAAATTATTCTTATTATTATTACCATTATTATTAATAATAATTACTATTACTGTTGTCTTTATTGTTGTTGTATTTATAAATTAGAATTTGGTACAAGATATTTTTGACAGAATGAGAAACAAAAAAAAAGAGAAAAAAAAGAAAGAAAGAAAAACAACACTAAAATGAAATTATACATATGTATATTTATTTTATCATTTAAAATGATATTCCATTTATTCTCTTTTTATTTTATTAAATATTAATGATAAATTATTATTCCAGTTAGTTCTGTTAATTGTTTTCAGTTTTTTCAATTTTTTTTGTTGTTAAAAATAGTTTTTTTTATAAAAAAAATCAGATGGAGATATGTTGAAATAAAGGAAGAGGGAGAAAGCGAGAAACGAAGAGAGAGAGAGAGAGAGAGGGAAAAGAAAACGAGTACTAAATAAATACAAACATACAATAAAAAATAGAAGAGATACTGTGAGTGTGTGTGTGTGTGTGTAAAAGAATAAAACATCTTTATCCGTCGATTTATAAAACAAAAATATGATTTTTACAAGAAAAAATTATTTTCCGAATATTATTTATCCATTTATTATTTGAAAAGTATATGATGTTGAAAAGGAATTCTAGTCAATAATATAGAAATCTATGTATATAAAATAAACTAAATAAATAGAACCGGATGACACGATTATGAATAAGACTTAACAAAGAACAATTGTCCTAGTCAGTTATATAATACAGAAAAAAATATACGTCATACTGATATATATATATAACCATACGGTGTATTTTTTTTACTGAGTTCGTTTTGGAGGATATTCAATCACCAAGATAATTATCACAATTAAAATAGCCACAATTAAAACAGCTACGAATATGCAACAACATCTTCGAGATCTTTGCTACAAGTAAACAAAAGATAGATGAACAATTATATTTAAAGGAAATGGTTATCATGTTGATTATTATATTACAAAAAATTAATCAGTTTTATTTTTGCTAAGATATGGGAAAAACAAAACAAATTCAGTAAGTACTACACACAAAAAACAGTTTATGCATTTGTAACACTTAGAACATACTTATTGCTGATTTACTTTTAATTTCATTTTAACTAAACATCAGTTTACTCTTTCTGAGTTCTGAAAAATTATATAAACTTATCCATAATTTTAAGATTGATATTTCACTACAATTAAAAGATCAAAAAAGTGAAGTTAATCAATTACCTTTTGTAAAAGATACCACAAAAGGTAGATCTGAATGAACGTTACCTGACTCTAATAATAGATAGTCACCAGTTGCGACTATTCTGATAAAAAGATTGTCGTGTAATGCAAAAGAACATTTGTTATTTTCGTGACAAACTGATGCAGAGCCTTCTCAGTGATTTTGAACATGTATTCATAAATCGCCAGCACTGAAGAATTAGGGTTCATATATCACCAACGTTGCTTTAGCCCTCACAAACATATGAAGATTATGAAAGTGACTGAACTCATGACTGAATCCTACAGTATGTCACCGAATGATTAGATCTAATCAAGTCAGAATTTACAAGTGATTTTACAGGTCCAAAAGCGATTACGAAAGTGGTACTTCAAGGAGTTGATTATAGAACTCGATCATCGAGATCAGTCAACTAGTTGTAATACGGAAGATAAACCAAATATTGGCCAACTGGTAATTTCATGCGATTGGTCAAGATTCGACTTCGTTTTCTAAGAAATAAGACACTCAATTGGTGGAAAAATGTCGTGCATTTCTAAGGAGCAGATATATATATATATAATATATGAGAGAGAGTTATTTCTCAAATCAGTTTGCCAATAAAAGGCTCCCTTTTCACTCAATTAGTTGGTTGGGTACTTAAATAGCAGGCTTGTTTGTCAACAACAGATCGGACACCGCACAACAAAGCAAATTGATATTTGATTTATCATCGTGTCGCGTACGACCAGATTACCCTTTTGTTATAAAATGTGTATGTTATTTTGATACTGTTTGTACATATGAGAAGAATATAAACAAGCACAGACAGGTATAAATCTACCAAATAACAAACTTTTAGTCATGATGTACGACAATTCACCTACTCTCCCTACGCCAGCAGCATGTCGTTATATTTCTAAGGACTATTAACAATACTCTAAACCCCGTAATTACTATCGTTTGGACTTGTCTTAAAACTTGCTATTTTACTCTATACGAATGACCTATACAGTCATAAGACTAGTCACAGTCATTTACTGGTGTGTATCTTATAACAAAAAATTCCTTATTCGAGTTGTATCATTTTAACTTTTCGCTATTGCTTGTTCCTATAGTTTTCCAACTTTTTTGAATTCCTTGGATCGTCTTAAATTCATTGAATTTCTTAACGGGAAATACCATAACTGCAGGTTGTCAAATCATTAGTCTAGATGTATCTATATTCACAGTACCACAGTGTTAACATATGGAAAGTACTTGTTGCTGGTATTTCGTGATTTCAATTTGAATAAACACTAGTTTTCTGTATTTCTTGTGCGTGACCTTAATTAGCCGGAATATTACTGAACTCTTTATGATTATGCATTCTGTAATATAACAAAACTATTCAATAACCATACACGAACTTGAGTACTTGAGAAAGAATCATACCTATTGATTGGTGGTATTCTCCATAGTGAATTTGACACTATATATATGACTAAAGCGCATATTTATAATACCCCTTTAAGAACTAATAAACCAGTTTTCGATATTTGACAAGGTTCTAAACTATAACACCAAGATTTTTAAAAAATCTGACTATTATTTGTTTTTACAACTTACTCGTCTATTAGCAGCTTTTGCTAGCTCTGAATGACCAGACTGTTCATTAGCTAATGCTACTTCGATGTTGTCTTCAATTGAATCAATAGCACTGCGTTGTTCATATACTAATTCAGAAAGTTGATGAAAAATTGCATTTACATTCACAATATCTTCCTAAAATGTAAAATGTTTTTAGACTGAATAGTAAAAACATTAAAATATATAAATAAAATTTAATGGTTTGATTATATATATATATATATATATATATATATATATATATATATATATATATATATATATATATATATATATATATATATATATATATAGGGACTGATTAGTAACAGTGCTTAATGTAAACAGTGACAGGATTTAAAACCATTAAATACAACTACACAACCGCTAATCAAGGTAGCTGTTACATAGACCCAATAGCTTGTGTATAACGCATTGATATTTAAAGTGATAGGTACTGATTTCGAGTCTTGGTATGAACATTAATAATAGCATACATGTGAACTTAGACGATGAGTTTCGAATGGGATAAAACGCTCATCTTAAATTTCACTGATAACCACAGTCAAAAGATACTAAAATGTTAAGTCTATTTTTTTCGATCAAAATAAAATAGGTACACGAAACACATTACCAATACGCTTTCAAGTGAAGAAATAGACAAAGTTCATTACCTTAAGAAGATTTTACCAATTTATTATAATACGAAAAGTGATTCAATTATAAACTCATTTGAAAGAGTTTAGGTACATGAACAATAGAGCGATGAAGAACTGAAAATGTAAAAATGCTAACAGATAGATGTTATTCTTCAAATCACAAAACTGATGTATTAGAAAACATTTCACTAGATAAATGGTTAAGAATCAAGTATCATTCTACTAAGACTAATATTATTGAGATACGCTGATCGACATTGCTATACACATCTATCTAATCTATATTTGATACCGTAAAAACAACAATGCGAAGATTTGTTCATTTTCAATGACAAAGACAAAACTGGTCAAAAGAGACTTGACATATGTGTGGTTACAAATAAATCAAACAACCACCTCGGTAAGTAGTTTTCGGAAACTTATGAATGAAATGAAGGATTTATTATTCAGTCTACATTCAGAGGATTGTAAACATTTTAATTTGGAAAAATAAGTATTGTCAATCCTAACACAACAGATGTAGTTAGAAAGCCTAGAGCACATATTAATGAAAGGTCGTCACTGTGCAGCTAGAATGAAGTTACAGAAAGGGCCAATCACGTCAACTAATATGATGTCAATAATTTATGTTACGATAACAGACGAGAAATAAACAAAAAACCATACTGTGTGATATTATTCAAATGATAGAAAAACGGTAGTTCATAGTATACAATTAACATAACTAACCTAATTTAATGCTAAAATTATGATAGTACTAATATTTTTAATTTCAAAGTTCATTTATTTGATTATCAATATGGGATTCAATACATATCAAAAATAAGATATACAAAATTATGATATTATTCATGAAGTCTTTATACATCTACTTACTGGTAATAGATAATTTTAGTATATGTCATAATTCATCTGCAACTGAAGGTATCAGTAGCATAGTAAATCTTAATTTCCCTAATGAAACAGGATGCAGACACCAGCCACAGATTAGCAGCTAATAATCGTCTCAGTTCAATGTAGGACCTGATATAACTATCCGATAGACCAAGCTGCTAGCTGACTTTAACGAAAAGACAGTGACAATTAAAAGGAACTATTGAAAAAACTTCATGTACTATATTTTTCTGCTTGGATTCTTTAAGAGATGACAAAGCAGTCGCAAAACATTTTACGTTCTGTAAGGTATAAAATCTGAAACCACAACTACGCTACTTAAACAAAAGTTAGTAGTATAAGATAAACTAACACAATTATTTGATGGCTTTTTCAGAGTCCTACTATGGTTCTAACGAATGGGAATTTATTTAGATGATTCCTACTTATGGACTCAATATCAACCTAGTGATTACGTTGAAATATGATAGTAATAGTTGTCAAAACTACCGAACAGATATGGCTGAGAAGGAAACTTAATTTAGTTTATTTATTCAAATCCTAGCTCGACTAAATTACACCGGTAAAATATATGTAATCCACTCACGACAAAAATGTCTTGTTCGTGAAAAAAACTAAGTCACAAAAATTAGTTGTGTGCTCGTAGAAACTTGCCGGAATGGTCAGAAAAAGGATTCATGAAACTTCTAACAATACCGCTCCCCCTCAATTGGTACATGAACACCACATTAAAATAGATGAAACCCTCACAGTTTTGTATCAAATCTCGAACAGTCTACTTGGGAAGCGGAACTATGGCTCCTTTCAATAGCTGAAGCTATCAAGCCCAGCTCCAAAAAACCAGCCTTACGTATTGAAGGGAGATATATTCAGCTTCTCTGTTTACCGTAATCCATAGTCGAGTCATCACAGACATAAACTACAATTTATAAACTCTTACCCCACAATTTCCCTTTATATGTAACTCTGCTCTGCCCCATTCTAAATTTTAAAATTCACCCTAAATTTATGTGAATTTTTTATCATAATTGCCGTGACAACATTTCTCTTACTACATAAAACATTTACACGACTTATTCTTATTAATATCATCTCAATAAACCCAACATATAACATTTCTCTTGTTACGCATTTCATCCACATGATGTACTTTATTATACTGATTATAAATCGACATCTTACAATTAATTTTTCACCTATTTCTTAAAAGAATTTTCAAGTCTATAAATGACACATTTGAGTCGTAACCGATTAAAAATCGGTTAGGATACAGCTGGACGATCTAGACTTCGCAGATGATTTGACTCTTCTATCGCAAACGCAACAAAAAATGCAGGAGAAGACGACCAGTGTAGCAGCAGCCACAGCAGCAATAGATCTCAATATACACAAAGGGGAAAGCAAGATTCGCCGATACAACACAGCATGCAACAATCGAATCATACTTGACGGAGATTTGGAAAATGTAAAAAGATTTACACATCTGGGCAGCATCATTGATGAACATAGTGGATCTGATGCAGATGTGAAGGCGCGGATCGGCAAAGCAAGAGCAGCATATCTACAACTGAAGAACATCTGGAACTAAAAACAACTGTCAACCAACACCAAGGTCAGAATTTTCAATACAAATGTCAAGACACTACTACTGTATGGGGCGGAAACCTGGAGAACTACGAAAGTCACCATTCAGAAGATACATGTGTTTATTAACAGTTGTCTACGCAAAATACCTGGTCCTGGTAATGCTGTGAATATTACCCATTAAGTGAAGATCAATCATACTACTCAGTAAATTATAGTTCGAGGAGTAGTGTTTAATCTAATGAGATCCGTATGCGTAAACCACTGAATCACAAAAAGTGTAAGTTAGTGCATTCATGACCCACATGCCATATCCAATGTTAAATAGTCGACAATAACGAATAGTTAACTAAGCCAAAAGTATAAAAGTGACTCAGAACAAAGGGTTCGGTAAACGTAAATCAAGCTAATGTATTGCACCAACAATGTTTAGATCTTTACTCGATGTTTAACTGCCTCATAAACCTTCAAGTTAACTTAAAAGTTAAAAATGATTCTGTGTCAGTGAACTTCTCTCAAACAAACACCGAATTATAGTACAATAAAGAATATTAATAAAATACAGTATTCCAAGTTCCCAGATTTCCCAAACATTATAACTGATCAATCAGCAGTGCTCCGGAAGGTTTTAAAGATCATAGCTGGAAATTTAAATAACCAGTCTAGCTATTTCTAAACAACTACTTTGAGGCTGACTTGTCGACAACTTAGTAAAAGAATAGTTTGATGTCTCATTAATAAAATTAGATACATGCTTTTCCGATAGACTGATATAAAAGTATTACATATACTTAGATATCTGCGCACAATTTAATGCAGTTACATTTAGGAACTTTTGTCCGAAGAATTTTTCATTTTGCAACCGAACAATATATAGTTTACAAACCAAAAATAAGTACACACAATTTTATGCGTAGTCTAAAAGTACGCCTACATATGAGAAATAAATATTCAATCAATCGCCAAACTACAAATCAATAATGCTAAGTATGGTGAACAATATCATGTTACCTCACGTTTACATTACATAGTGATATTTAAATAAACAGAACAAAATGTAAGAGTTTGGAATCAATGAGACAGCAGAATCATTGACTCTTAAATAGCTAGTTTGGTTGACCAAGACATATAAGAAACAATAACACTGTAAAACAAAAACAAATCAGAAATTGATGAGGAAACCTAACTGAGATTCAGCAGTATTAACTTCGGGCCACTGTAATAGTCCCTACTCCATAGATTAGTATTACGAATACATTTGCAGCTAGAGGAAGTTAAGAGATATATTAAATAACTTATTTTTCACAACAAAAACCAAATGTTTGATTTTGAAAACTATCATCTGCTAGCTGGTCAGGCCACCTCTCTTTATATTTCAAGTTGCCATTATATATATATATATATATATATATATATATATATATATATATATATATATATATATATATCCAGGTGATATTGTGATTTTAGCATCTATGTAAATTCAACCTCTAGCTTTATGATCTGTTCCAACAGACTGGACGCTACTGCTAATAGAATAGTGAATATTAGCAAATAAGCATTAAAAGGGTATGGTAGAATGAAAACGATTTTCTAATTAGATAAAGTGCTTCAAGAGATACTTCATCACTAAAAATGAAGGTTTAAAATTTTATTTGGATGCCTAAACCAACATATTAGTTAAATCAATAATACTTCGTGATGATATCACAAAAGGAATGAGCCGTTCACATAAGATGTGGTGCTTATATCCTCCGAAGACTAGAATGTCTTTAAGTATCCGTCAGTGAATAAAGTACTAAGTAAGCTAAATGTGAGAATTTATTAAGCATTAATTTTAAGACTGAAAGAAAAATATGCATGAATTAAACCTAAAATTGTACGTAGTTAGAATATAGCATCAAAGAAAAGTTTTACGGAAACATTTTCGTACACGAGAAAATTCATGTAAACAAGACAGGAAATAAATACGCAGTCTTACTAAATCTATAGATTTACATTTTTTATACAATACTATTGTTTTACAAGTACACTGACCGGAACTCATTGTCAGAACACCTGAAGGTAAGTTTGTTAAAACTGCAAATCTAAAAACCCACCTCTATAGAACGCATTTGATCCTCCTGATTTAACGCTAGTCCCAATTCCTGAACTTCATAATCTTGGGGGGTGCAGATTTGTGCTTGAATAAATTGGCCTGCATCAGTATCATTCGAATCCAAATTAATCAGATCTCCAACAATTGAGGAAGTTGGACGACTTTCAGTAAGCAATCGCCTTTTGATTTCCTAAGCCAAATAATGGTCAGAAATCGTACAATATAACTGGGATTACAAAAAGCTTTATAGTGGTATCGAAAAGAATACATATAGCTGGGATGTTTTGATTTTGAAAACTATTAGAATTACTGTTTTAAATAATGTGACTGCTCTTAACCGCATTTCCACGAGTCGTTTCACATTATATACGAGTATCCCCTAGTACTGACCCTTAGAGAGTAGTACGTTTACATGAGTAAAAGACAATTTGTCCAAATGGGCATTATCACACCACCAGTCACGATAAAAAGAACATCACATTTGAGAAGGTTGTGGTGGGAAGTGGTTATTTTTCTTCGTTAGTGTTATGCTCCGATAAGAATAATGAGTGGTAGTTTTTGGGATCCATTTGTGGACCAATACTATACGTATATTTTTACCGTATAATTGTTAATTAACTAAACTATTCATATTCATGTCCCCCTTATTATAAGCTTTATTTTAACCTATGAACTGTTATTATACGATTTTCCATTCTTGAATAATTCCGTCTACTAGTCACTGCCTCCCTCATTCACAGCCACATTTGGCTAATTCTTGTACAAATGTTGTTTCATATTTTATTGGTACGTTGTGGTCTGTTTGATTGGGATATAAACTCAGTATGTTTGAAATATAATGATTCATACGCAGAGTCTGAGATTGGCGTTCTGGATTTAACTGGTTGGGCTAGGCAGAAAGAAGGACCAATCAGAACTCTAAACTGCTCATACGGGTTTACGCGTCATTGTTCCGATCGATAAGTCACTGCTCTCTAATCGGCGGTCACAAGTTATAACAGGTAAAAACAACAAAACCAAAACACTCCATCGTCCACTTCATCTTCCAGTACTATTCAATACGAGACTGTTTAAAAAACAAGAAGTATTTACAAAATTTATAACTTCTGACCGATTACACTAGAATCAGATGGTAGTAACATTATCACAATTTTCAACTGATTTCATGAAACATTTAAGTGACAGTACTATCCTGCACGTAATTAACGTAATAGAAACCTTGAAAGATCATAATCTAAGATTAAAAATATAAGCATAAAATTTCCGCTAAATCGAGTTTTTCATGATAGCTTTAATTTCACTGACTAAGTGGTTTTATTATCACCTTTTATATTATTGACCAAAAGTTATTAGCTGTCATTTCATTTACATTTATTGATTGACAACCATCCTTTTTTATAGTTTGACTAGACAACTACGCTCATTTTAAGAAAAAGATATTTGCTTATCCTTAAAAATTCCATTTACCAGCTTTACAAGCAAGATTGTGTAGCAGACTTTATTACCATAATTTCATACATAAAATGGCATTGTTCCCCCTATTGTATGATAACATTTATATACAATGATCCAGCTTAACAAAGTATTCCCTGGTTAAACCACGTATTTCATGACTTAAATGTCCCAGAAAATCTGCTACTGTTAAGCATACACAATAAGGTTTATTAATCATTGTATTTATAACACTTTTAGGCACAATGAAAGGTCCCAGAATTATAAACATTTGGTCATTATTATGCTTTAGTTTCTAGTAATTTTTAGAACTATACTCTAGTCATTTATTATTTTATTCTTCCTATATTAAACTGTAATGCTGAATGTATTGTTGAAATGGTGATGATCTGTTATTATAGCATTAATTGTGGCAAACAACACCCAAGTACGTTTCAGTCATAACAACATGACGTTAGACAGTTTTGCTATGCTTTGTTCATCAGATCAGCTGGTATTTATCACATTTTGAGACTTGTCAGTCAATATTTTGATAATAATGTATACTAGCCAAACCCGACACTCATTCCAAGAACATACAAAGTGAATGCATTACAAAATGAGAATTATGAACGATTAAAACTAACGTGAACAGTTTTCTGTCTTATACCTCAATACTCTCAGTGAGTCCTGGCACGTTCAGCCCCTACTCCATACCTAAATCATTAACCACACAATTTCGAAATAGAATTATGTACCTGGTAGCTTGATGGAAATCTCAGCCAAGTTAGCCTGAATCACTTTTCTAAATATATTGCTTTCCAGTAAATAGATGATGCTTTATGCGCTAAACTGTGAATCTTGAAAGATCAGGAACTAAACTATTGACGATGTCATCTTATATATTAAAGCCTGCGGGTACTCCAGAATCATTTTACAGAAAAATGCAAAACAAACCGTTATTTTTTCTTCAGTTTGATCAGAATAATCTTCTAATCGTTTTTACGTAGTGAACTCGCCTTTTGTAAACTGAGTCACCTAGAGGACTCCCATTATAGTAGTTTAACTCAGGAAGGTTGAATTCGAGTAAAGCAACTAAATTAGTACGTAGCAGACAAAGGCGACTACCAGTGGTAACAGCACAAATTTTTGATGAATGCCACTCAATTATCACTTTGTACGAAAATTCTCTAAAAGCACTTATACCACCCCATAATTTAGGAAAAACTACTGCGTGGTAAGACATGCTGGTATGTTATTTTTTAGATCAGACTCATAAAACCCTATATCTTACGGCAGGAAACACTAAGTTCAAGTAAAACCAAAGATTAGTTATAGGCAACAGTGTACTAACGTTCTAGGAACTGAATAAAATTGGAGGAATGGTCAATAAACTAAGTTTGAGCTAGATATCTAGATGGTTTATCATGTTTTCTATACAAGAACCTCAATTAATTACCGAACGAGTGCAAATGGGAGCTTTCTGTGCTGTTCAACAAAACTAGTTTATCTGAATTTATTGAAATAACCTTTGTCCTTGCCTTAAAACCAGATTAAATAACCTGAATATTTACTTAGATCTATTGTTTATAGACTTTTGTAAACAAACCATAAGCTCCTGAGATATCAATGTGACAGGTTGATCACAACGATTCCAATCTTAGTAAAAATTTAAGGAGAGATGATGTCCTCTATAAACAGAAATGAAACACGCTGCGTTGGACATATAACCACGTTCCTAGGGCAACTGCAAATGAAGGATCAAATGAAAATCATTTAGATAGTCGTCAAACAAAGATTAGGACGTTGAATAAATATCTGATACTTGTAAGCTATCAATAACTGGATGATATCCTTAATCTCGCAGCAAATATAGTGTACAGTTCTCAGTAGAGACCGGAACATAGTTTGAATTTACTGTACTGATATTAAAAAAGCAAAGGCACTTTAGAGCTCAGCGAAACGTGAACAGAATTACAAGTCGAGATTTATATGAAGAAATTACTATTCAAAAAGCTTTCATCAGACTTCTTAGCAAATAAATGTCATTATTCCTAAAGAATTCTACCCGTATTTATTAACTTATTAGCATCATGCTGGACGACAAAAAAATCATCCCCAAAACTGGTTGAAACCCTGAATAAGGATTCCACGAAAACTCACAGCTTGAGTTCTTTGAAACCGATGAAGCACACGCTGAAAGTCAACTTTGAGCTTCTCAACATGAATTTTCGTTATCTAGAGCTGATCAAAACAATAGGGAAAACCATACCTGATCCGATAAAGGCTGCTTCGAAAGATTAATGAACACGTTTTTAGTGTCGTCAACTAGCTCAAGGGCATCTTTTTCTCTTTTATTACTACAACGGACATTCAAAAAACAAAAAAGCCTACAGAAGGTCAGATTGAGCCTTTGAATTTCCTGTTATGCTTATGCTTTTGTTCAGCGTTTCCAGCTCATTTGCTACTCGAATATTTAAGCCTTCGAAAAATAACATACCCAGTAGACGTATTTTGAGTATTTTAGAGGAGATATCTTCAAAAACCTGGATGACAGCAGTAGTTTCTGTGATAATAAATTCTTCCCAAGCACAAACATACGTGAAGAAGATCCCGAATTACTACTGAATTCACCATACATCGTTAATCATTGCATTTCCGTTGACGGCAATAGCTTCACTCAGTATCTTCCAAACTGAGAAAACTGGACACTGGCCTTGAAGAACTGAACTAACCGCGACAAGTAATCTTCATCATTCCAATAACAAATCTTCAGTAATCACAGTTTGAGACAGGAAACAGCTAACCTAGAGTAAACCGTCAAAACGGTGAAAAACGAAAGGAGTCATGGAGCAGGTAATAAAATCAGGCTAAGAATCAGTGTATGGAGTTCCAATTAGGTATGGGTATTAGAGTTTTAGGGCCAGTGAAATATCACTGAACCCTAACCAAATCATCCAGAAGTTGGGTCACTGAATATCAAGCAGATCATCGACAACCCATGCTCATCAGCTAATCGTATGCCACAGACTGGCCAATGCGGTGGTGGTCTCACTATCTTCTCTGTACATATTCCTACCAATATACTTCCATAATAACGTCCTTTGTCTTGTACGGTCTTCTAAGCATCCACAGTATCTTGATACGACGAAGGGGTCATCTACGTCAGGTGCTGACTGCAAGATGTGATTTTGACGTTATCTGTTGGTCACACCATTCCCGTCTAACTTGAGTAGGTCCCCAATCATTCGACATAGATCATCTACGTTGGTGACATAAAGAGTTTTAGCCACGAACTGTCATCATTTACAATCACAAGACCTGAAAAAACATCCGTATTCTAATTCCTAGCATAAAAATTCATTCATTCTCTTTTTATAAATGCTTGTAAATAGTAACGTCCAAGGATATACATTAGGTTGAATATGAGCAAAAATACTTCCATCTAACAATCTTCCGCTAAAAAAAGTGATAAAGTACCCTCGAGTAGGCGCGAATCACGGCCATATTAGAGGTTCAGAATTTGATGACTGCAATTTTCATCTAATTAGAAGTTCTTTAATAATCCACTTAGAATTAAATAATGTTTGTAAAGAAAAGAACACACTGAAAACCCCTCCAGAGCATTTTATTGGACAGTGTTTTCACTTATCTGTTTCTTCTCTTTGTTGTGTATTATAGACTTTGTTCAGGTCCCTTGCTAACCATAATCTATGTTCTTCAGTCTTTCTTGTCGAGGATTTTGTTATTTGATCTTGGTCAAAGATGTATGTCTTATTACTTAATTTACTGTTGCATGTTGCTAAACTGTAGACAGTTGGGTCATGCTTGACTAGACTAAAGATCACGGCATGGTTCCATGTAGGAATTTTGACCCTTAACAGCCTGCTTGGAAAGGTTGTTGAAATACTTGAACTTATCAGATACGAAACTTTTGTAGGAAAGTACTGGAACCAAATAAATTGTTTCCCCTCTTACCGCATTTAGTGACACAAATAACCCATTATTTTTACGGTAACGTAAGGCGAAATGACCCAACTCATGAAATTATGTATCTAGTTCGAGCTCCCAGTTCTTACTGAAACTCGTTTCCCATCTGATGTCACTGACAGCCGAACAAGCGTGGAGGCGAATGTTACTGCTCGGATGTAAAGTGTAGATGAAACAGAAGTTGAAGTTTTGTAGTGGTATTGGTCCTTAAAAGTATGGTTTTTGAAGATGTGTATAATCACTGAGGATATTCATGCTCAACAAGTAACAGCAAAGCTAGGTCAACAGTGGTGAACATCGGAGGAAGGAAATGAGATGATGTGACTCGGTCATACAGGCGCAGACACCATAACCTCTATCCTTTCGCATCAAATATATAACTTTCCTCCTAGCTCAAATGTGTTCTTCAGAAATGCTAGAGGTCATGTTGTTGACGGTAACGATAGGACAAGTCACTATAGTGAGTGACACGACTTCCAGGTTTAATCTTACGGATTAGGTAGTCACATTACGACAAATCTAAAATTTTGGGATTACGTCTATTATTATAGTAGTACTAATACTGTAGTAGACCATAACTCCACAGCGTCTTCACACATAGCCGATAAATCACTGTCAGAACTCCCGTGCACCTTATGTTTACAAAACCCAGAAATCAGGTAGTTCAGCGGGTTAATGTAGACATTACAACACCTGCAGTCCAATCACGTACTTCAAGCTGTAAACTCAAGCCATCACTCAGTAAACCACGCAATCAAAATTATCTTGTCTATAGTGTGATTGAATAAACAATTCACTGATACTATCAAGACTGTGGGTTTGTCAGGGTACAGTAGATACGAAATGAGATTTACGAAAACATGGCTACATGCAGTTTGATAACTAACCTACAGTCGACAAATGTCTGCTTTCAAGAGGGCTACGTTCATTTTCAACAATGTCACGAAAAGCTATGTGGAAGTGCTCAAGATTAATCCGTCTACACGGTTATGACAGAGAATCCCAAACATTACCAATGATCTTAGGAGTGACGGAAATCATCGCACCTGGAATAATGTCCGAAGCCATATCAATTAATAAAAGACTGGTCATGTAGGATAAAATGCTGTTTGAAGGGAGCCACAGAGTTTTCTTCAGGTGAAAAAACCTAAAACAGACTGTATTTTTCCTTAATGTATTTTGGTTATGTCCTTTGTCTTACGCCACAAAATGGACTCAATACTAGGACACAGACCTACAGAAAGCCCTTCAAGCTAAGTCAACCAACCAGATTCAAGCTAACCTAAAATACATCGATCTGTTCATAGTCCTTGAGGTCTAGTGGGTCTCTAGAAGGACGTAATTATGTGAGATTATTTGTAAACCAGTGTGTAGGTTACTAATTCAACAACTGGGACCCTATCAACTAGAGACAGGTCGGAAAATGGGCATTTCCTTTAAAACTTTCTTATAAGACTGAACAAATTCAACATATCATAAATCAGCTGCACTATCAACCACATTCTCTAACGTTGCAAAACCTCCTGACCATAGTCAGATGAGGGAGTAAGATAACAAAACTTTTCATGTAGTACTCAGTTCATTAAATGCAGACCATATGATTCTAATCTTCAATTGACATTTGACAGATAGACGGCCAACAGGTACTAAAATGAGGAGGCACATGTAATAGTTCTTTGTTGTTCATAGGCGTTTAACTTCCTTCTGCCAAAATTCCTCATTATGAAGGTAGTGAAAGCTGACCTCAGTGATCTACCCCTACCAATATTTCACAGTGAGCTGGAAAAATATTCTGCATCAAGGTAAACAGATTTCTGAAAACTCGAAAGATCTCCATCCGCCGTCTCACGGTGTGTCATTCTGTAGCTCCACATCTCGCTCTTATGAAGGATCTTACTGAAAAACTTCACTTTACTAGCCTTTAGTCCATCCATTAACGTCAAGACTTGAATAACAGTTAAGAGGGAAGCGAATCCTCAGGATATTCCGAAGAACCTCTGGTCGCTGAGGAAATGGGAAGAATTTACAACCAAAGTTTCCATCAAGAGGAGACGTTCGATAAACATATGCGTCGACATGGTCTTCCTTTCTCTCAAAGAACAGCGATTTGACTGAGTACGCCAACAGATGAAATCGACCTTTATTCATCGGTCCAATCGTACTCTACATTGTCACTTACTTTCTGGGAAAAAATAAAGTAGTTGGCTGATTAGTAGCAGTTATAGTGAATATCTTTAAGTTAACTTTGTTTTAAATACATTTAATTCACTCGAAACTTCAATTTGTTTGTTGATATCTTTGGCCTAGAAAGTTTTCACTTTCACTCATTTTTTGGATTGAGTTTTAAAAGTTTCTCTCCGAAAACCTAAAAGTTGAAGAACAAAATATTTTGGTTGATTACTTGTGGTTTTCGAATGATCTATGTTATCTGAACAGGAATTTGGCTCTCCTGTAACTTGGATCGTAAGCTACAAGAGGATCAGTCGGCCGAGCTCCAAAACGAACCACAGTAAAATGTGGACGCAAGACTTTATTCACTGACATTATAATCACCATCTTTATGGTTGTTACTTGCTCATTATTTCTGTTTTATTCCTTAGAGGAAATCTACTTTTAACATTCACATGATGATAAAGCTTCGCCCACCTTTACTCATCGCCTTCTATTATTGAGAAAATCAACTGCTCGTTCCCTAACCCCATGACTGATTGCAAACGTTTACCAACTTTAATTAAGACCCAGGCGAGAAGTCTTTACTCATATACGTAGGAATCACATGCATAAATATATTTATATGTCTTTAGAGTCTAATCTTCCCTTGTGTTGAGAAGGCAGGTCAAGAATGAAAAATCTTTCCTAAAATCTTGTTGCTCTCTTGTTGAGAGGTTGATCTCCTCCTGTATGACTAAGAATGGCAGCCCGTATCATATTTTTCACTAGATTGACATCTAAACTGGTAAGAATAAGTGCGTGATAGTCACCGACTGCGTATTTACCCATCAGTACCACTGTATTGTGGACTGAATCACTTGTCGTATCCTTCCGGTTTCTTGACATTTTAGGGTAAATCAGAGACATGTCAAACTATTTTGTCAGTGGTTCGACAATAATATCATTCAGAACTCTTACGATTCAAAGATGTACATCGCCAAATTGTTAGCCATCTCCCAGAAAACAAGTTTAAACGGCATAGGGTAGCTGCACGGATAATGTCACAAATATTCTCAAGGTGGTAACTGATGCGCTGAGAGCGTAAATGTATTTCACAGGCATGTTAATTTCCTTCTTCGTATTTCCGTTTATCCTTTTTGAGGTGACCCAGAAAATTTCTCGAAAATGTCACTCAAGGATCAAGAAAACACTAATAAGCCTTTCCTATAATCAGCGTTCACTTGATGTTTTAGCCAGAAATATCAAAGAGGGTGAAACGTTATATGCAGAGGTTCTGATTGCCTGATTGCTACACTGCTACTGTGTTTAGTAGCATTCCAGAATCTTCTGGCAACCCAAAGACATTTAAAACATTATAAAAACTCTGTATTTTCTGTAATGAAATGAACCTTGGAGTAAAGTACTTCTCGCGTACTTTGTGTCTTCTCTCTCGTTGTTCAGGTCACTGTATAGTTCTAGCTTGGAGGCTACAGAATAGCT